TAGAATCTCCCATAAGCACAGTATCATCAGCAAAAAGCAACTGTGTCAATTCCCATTTTGTATTTGACTCCCCATAATTTAATCCCACCCCTCTCCTGAACACCCTAGCATTTACTTCTTTTACAACCCCATCTATAAATACAGTGGACCCCCGGTTTACGATATTATTTCATTCCAGAAGTATGTTCAGGTGCCAGTACTGAACAAATTTGTTCCCATAAGGAATATTGTGAATTAGATTAGTCCATTTCAGACCCCCAAACATACACGTACAAACGCACTTACATAAATACACTTACATAATTGGTCGCATTGGGAGGTGATCGTAAAGTGGGGGTCCACTGTATATTAAACAACCATGGTGACATTATGCATCCCTGTCTAAGACCTACTTTTACTGGGAAGTAATCTCCCTCTCTTCTACACACCCTAACCTGAGCCTATCCTCATAAAAACTCTTTACAGCATTTAGTAACTTACCACATTGCTCCCCTATCCACTCTATCATATGCCTTTTCTAAATCCATAAATGCAATAAAAACTTCCCTACCTTTATCTAAATACTGTTCTCTTTGTTATATTAAATTATTTGTATACCCCAAGCCTGACCTTCACAGTGTAGGTTGCAGGTTGATTTTGAAGGTCAAATTTAAAAAGAAAAAGAGACAGTTTTATGAGCTGCAAAACACAGTAATTTGCTCATCTCTTTAATTAAGAGCTTCTTCAGCTACAATTATTCTACTTAAACTGTTTCAGTGGCTGTCACATACAACTGAAACACTGAGGCCAGGGTCCCTTACATAGTTCTATGTTGTGAGCTCACAGATAAGCTGCAAGTGGCAAATTTTGGCCTAAATATGAGAGAAAGGGTCTGCACAGTGAGTGCAAACCCATTCTCCCACAAACTGTTGACTTTTTATAATATGCATACTGTATAAACATACCTATGCTTCATCATACTGTATAAACATACCTGTGCTTCATCATCAGAGATTTCAGATCAATGGTTGCAACCACATCTCCGTGGACTAGAAAGAAGTCATCCTTCAAGAGCGATTTTGCATACAAGTCCCTCATGGCATCGCCCATTGAGTGGCAGTCTTCAGACGCAACTACACATACCTTCATCCCACAGTCCCCACGGCGTGTCGTGAACCCCCTGTCAATACATACATAAATACTCTTTAACGTGCTGTTGGAGTACAATTAGGGTAACATTTATGAAGAGGTTCAGGAAGAACTAGAGGTAGAAAGCACAGTTCCACCACTCTGAAGGAGGGGTGAGGATGTTGCAGCTTGGAGGGTAATTCAAACTGTAATGTCACTGTGCTCCTGGTAAGATAGTGATTATACGAATGATGGTGAATGTCACCCTTGGTGGGAGATGGTCAGTGTGTTAAAAATAATAAAAACAATCTGAATAAAAATGCTTTTGTGAGAACTGGCTGTCAAAATGCCATTCCCCCAAAATGGAAAAGTATTTGTCAGAAGTGTTTCAGAGTTGTCAGGGGCCCAGAGATAATAATAGATGGGGAACAACAGAAATTTCAATTTCCTTATTTTACAGTGAACAAGATGCTTCAGTGTCAAGGATGACCCCACCCCAATTCTGATTGGCTAAATTTAAAAAAAAAAAAAAAAAAAAGATACACGATACTTTGGCCTACAAGACACTGGTCAAATTTTCGACTTACTTGGGAAAAAATAGTCTTGGATGCCATAAAACATGATATGCTTGAGAGAGGCAAAAATCCTATAGTCTTCCTTTTACTTCCCTATCTAGCATTGACAATGCATCAGTGGAAATTTTGAAAATCTTCTGTCAGTTATTTTTCCATCTTTTAGGCTGGAATAATTGGAACATTCATTCCTGAGATCGTGTGTGCTTTGAAAATCAAGCACCGAATATGGCGCGAGTATTTTACTTTGATCGGTGGGAAGCACTAAACCACTTAGGGGTCACCTACTGCCTGGGGGAATGGGAGGCACGCGGGTTTGACCCAAGGAAAGGGAAGGCAACTTCAGTGCCTTACATCAAGAGCCCCTCTTGGGGATCAAAGCACTTCCCCATGAATGAAAACATTAAAATAGGTAGATACAGTATAAGGTGGTATGAGAGGTATTTCCAAAAAAATACATTGTTTGGAAAAATACTAATTTAAAATGTACATTTTTACACATACAATGAATTAAAATAAAACCCCCAAAAATTATCAATAAAAAAAAAGCATTAGTAAAGTAATGCAATATAAGGTAGCACATTCCTGTCATCTGACAAATTTAGGTTTCCTAAAAACAGCAGGTACCTGGGTGTGTAGTGTGGGAGAAAGGATAGCAAGTGCCTGGGTGTGTAGTGTGGGAGAAAGGATAGCAAGTGCCTGGGTGTGTAGTGTGGGAGAAAGGATAGCAAGTGCCTGGGTGTGTGGTATTAAAGAAAGGGTAGTAGGTACTTGGGTATGTGGTATGGAAGAAAGGGCAGTAGGCACTGGGTGTGTGGTATGGAAGAAAGGGCAGTAAGTGCCTGGTTGTGGTGTGGTGCAGGAGTGAAGGTGGAGTAGTCACATACAGTACAGGACTCACAAGCGCTCCACTCACAAAACACCAACTAACATAAAAATAAAATTTACTGTTTTTGACCAATCTCTACTAAACAAATATGACTTCCACACACATTAATAAAACATACTCGCATATAAAATACCTACGTATTCAACATAAAACTAACCAAGAACAAAAACATGTCAAATTTATTAAGAAATTTGTAATAATTAAATCTAGGTATGCATAAAGAATATAGTATACAAAAACTAAATCCTTTTCAAACAAAAAAGTATAAATTTTGGAAAATAATTTGTCTGAATGTTGTAATGTTTGCACCAAGAGATTGGCAAGTTTAAAAAATTGTCTTCAAAGTGCCTCATTAGTAATTTTGAATTATGACAACTTTGATATCTGTAAATCTGGGACCCTCCTGTAATTATACTTGTCACACACCAGTGCTAAATGTGGTGTCCAGTCTTGCACCTACTGAGCTACGACATTATTATTATAATGAGAGGGAAAGCACTTCCTAAAGGGGTTATAAGGGACATAAGAATGGGAGGCAATCAGATTCGAAGCCATTTGTGGTGAAATGTTTCTTTTAATGCCCTGAACTGTACATAAGTATCTATCCACAGCTTGTAACATCACCCTACCATTTACAACCATTAATTCTTAAGATCAATTAGATAAACTATGATAGTCACAAAATTGTAATAGGATTTACTTGCCGTAGGTTGAAACCCCATCCGTTCCATGGTTTGTTCATTAATATATGTGTTAGGTTAGATTGCAAGGTTAGCTGATGCAAATAATTAAAAATGGGTATTTAAAAAAATTGCATAATTACATTTAATCACATTGCTTAGGTTGACCCCAATGCGAGGCAATGAGTACTGCAAGCCAAGCTCTGCTGCCCTCATGCTTGCTAAGCAACCAGAGAAGAGATGATAAGTGTGCAACAGTTAGTTAACTTTATTTTGAAATGTTTCGCCTACACAGCAGTTGAGTACATAAGAGGAAGCAGAAGCAGTAGAGATGTTAAGATGATGTAATAAGTCCATCACCCTTGAGAATGTAGTCTGGAAGTGGTCAGTCCCTCAGCCTGGAGAAAACTATTGTTCCATAGTCTGTAACAATGTTCCAGATTATGGAACATAACCCTGACCACCCAAAAACTATGTCTTCAGGGGTGATGGACTGATTACATCATCTTTCCATCTCTACTGCTTCTGCCTCTGTACTCAACTGAAGAAGCCTACTGTGTAGGTCAAATGTTTTAGAATAAACTTACCTAACTGTTGCACATGTCTGACTTATCAACATGTTGGTATTACATACCATTATCATATTCAACCAGAAAGGTCTGGAGGTGAGTTGGGTCTTGGTATTAAGCATTCCATGGTTAATAATGCTTGACTGTGCCTTTACCATTTATCTGTTCTACTTACCACTTATCTGAGTGAGCACTGGAGAAATCCAAGGATAATGGAGCAGGAAGAGTGGTGGTAGCCAGCCAAACACCCAATGGAAGCAAATTATATGTGAAAATTAAAAAAAATAAATAATAGTTATCCCCAAAAATTAGGACTTATTTGAGTCCCCATCTTACCTAAATTATAAATTATATTAAGAAATTATTCTCAGAAATTAAACTATTAGCAGGCAAGTCACATATTTTGATAACATCTGCATCCGTCCTATTTTGCCAATAAAGAGTATTCTAACCAGAGTCTCTAAATTCATTCATGGACATGACCTTGCTCACAATTTCAAAATGTCAAATCCTAAAAACCACTTATCTCCATTCACTCTGGTCTAACACTCATACATGCCTGCTGGCTACTCTCTCACACATGACTGATGTTTGCACTCATACCTATGTGTTGGATGTCTAAGCCTCTGCCTCACAAAACCTCCACTCTCTCCTTCCAGTTTAGGCATCAAACACTAACAACCTTGATCTAGAATGAAACACTTGTGCGACATTTGGGAAGCTTTATTATGGATACGTTTTGCCAGCCAGTGGCTTCTTCAGTCCATTACAGAGAAGAACAGTGTAATATGAGGAGGAGTTTGAGGTAATCAGTCCCTCAGCCTGGAGTTGACATGTTCACTCCATCAATCCTGAGGGACAGACTACCTAAAACTCCTCAGTTCTTCTCTATAATGGACTGAAGAAGCCAGAGGCTGGTGAAATGTTTCTGCAATCAAGATTCCAAAATGTTACACAAGTGTCTCATTCATCAATTTGTTGGTTTTCTAAGCCATATAACAGTGGACTCCCCGCAATTAACGGCATTACACCTCCAATGGCCGACCAACTTAAAGTAAGTGTAGTCAAGTAAGTGGTTGTATGTGAGTTTGGGGGTCTGGAAAATGACCCATCTACTTCACTATTACACTTATGGGAAAAAATCTCGAAGTCAATACTGGCACCGAACATACTATGGTAATGAAGTAAGGTTCGTATACCTCTCCATTCAATGTAAATAAAAAGCTTGATTACACAGATATAGAAATGGGTCGAATCTGTAATGGGATGGAGGAAGGCAATAGTGGTCTCGTACAAATACGGCAAGCAATCCAGAGTGTGAGTATGTTAGTAGGAGTGATTAGACGAGTTTGGAACCAGCTCCTGTGTTATAAAACACCTCTCTTAAGTAATGAGAGCCACTGTTTAGCACTAACAACCTGGTTGACCAGGCATAACCTATCCTCAGGAAGTAATACTTGACCAGGAAACCGGTCACAGGTATTACTGTTAAGGTTCTATATCCTCTCCCATTTTCATTAATGATTAAAGAATAAAAAGGCTTATTACCATGATGGATGGAGAAAAATAGGGTGTATAAATCTGTAATGGATGCGGGAAGGAATAGGGGTCGTCCTAGAAAATGATGGAGGGAGGGGCTTGGACATGCAGCAGGCATGTGTGAGTGTGTTAGATAGGAGTGAATGAAGATGAATGGTTTTTGGGACTTGATGAGCTGTTGGAGTGTGAGCCCCTAGGGTAATATTTTGTGAAGGGATTCAGGAAAACCGGTCAGCCAGACTTGAGTCCTGGAGGTGAGCAGTACAATGCCTGCACTTTACAGGAAGGGTTTGGGGTACTGGCTGTTTGGAGTGACATCTAAACTGTCATATCTGGGCCCCTAGCTCCATTGCAGTGCTCCTCTTTCTTAGTCTTTGACTGACTCCACTACTACTATCTCTACCACTTCTTCTCATCTTCCACTACTACCTCTCTTGTCCTGCCCCTGTCTGCTGGCCTATATATACTCCCTGCTTCTCTCCTTTCTGTTAGTGTGACTTTGTAAATGGTCCAAGTCCGACTGAAACGTCATTGTAAGCTCCTTTCTCCTATGCAAAGAGAGTGATTGTGTCTGAATGATGGTGAAGGTGTTTTTTTTTTTTTGGGTCACCTGCCTTGGTGGGAGACGGCTAACATGTTGAAAGAAAACAATACAGCGACTGGAACAAAACACAACTAATCCGCACATGGGACAATGAAACTTGTGATGACATTTTGATCTGACTTGGACGTGTTAATGGTCCAAGTCGAACTGAAACGTTATCATAGATTTCAGTCTCCTAGATGCGGGATATTTGTGTATTCATTAATGACTCATCAGAGGTATAATAAATGCAATATTGTACTACACGGAAATATAAAACTTCTCAAAATACCAGAATTGCACATACAGCAGAACCTCGGTTTTCGTATGCCCTAGTTTGTATGTAAAACTATAGTTATTCTCTATAAAATGTAATTATTGTTTATATTTTTGGGTGTCTGGAATGGATTAATTGGATTCACATTATTTCTTATGGGAAATATTAACAAAAAATACGTTTTATTGAGAATAACTAGTTTTACATACAAACTAAGGCATACAAACACCGAGGTTCCACTGTACCTGGAGTTTACCTGGAGAGAGTTCCGGGGGTCAACGCCCCCGCGGCCCGGTCTGTGACCAGGCCTCCTGGTGGATCAGAGCCTGATCAACCAGGCTGTTACTGCTGGCTGCACGCAAACCAACGTGCAGCCAGCAGCAACAGCCTGGTTGATCAGGCTCTGATCCACCAGGAGGCCTGGTCACAGACCGGGCCGCGGGGGCGTTGACCCCCGGAACTCTCTCCAGGTAAACTCCAGGTACAGTGGAACCTCGGTGTTTGTATGCCTTAGTTTGTATGTAAAACTAGTTATTCTCAATAAAACGTATTTTTTTGTGTATAATCAAGCCTCAAACTTTTCACACTTTACAATTCACAAGATTCGATTACGTACTACAAAACAACGATTTTAATGAGATGCATGTTATGGATAACTTTGATTAATCATGAACTTTTTTCAGTGTGCATTATTTTCCGTCAAACTGCACGACCCATAAATTGAAATAAAACCAGAATGTGTTCGATCATAAGGTTCATCTGACTATCTTGGGCTAACCTAATGGGTAATTTACATGTATATTAATAAGTTTATTTAGGTACAGGTACACACAAGTACATTTATTATACATAGTGTAAATTACCCACCAGAATGACCCAAAAAAAAGGTCAAAGTGACTTAATTCCATTGGGGGGATAAATGTCTCTCTCTAAATGCCCCATTTTCATCGTTCGAAAATTCTTTCGTGCTAACATTTTATTAAATGTAACTTCCCAATCTCAAAATTTAAAGGTACAATATATAAATTACTTTTTGTTATCACCTACTGGGATAAATTTCCGAATTTTTTTTTTTTGATTTGCTAGCCAATTTTTGGGGGCGATTCCTTCACTCTTAAAAACGCGTTTTGGGTAATAAAATGGGGAAAGTTGGGGAATTTGGGTGGTGGATGGAGACCTTTGGTCCATGTTGGAGGAGTGTCTGGTGAGGGTTTAGAGCCAACACCACCGCTTGAAGGATATGATCCTCGTGGAGGTCTGCTGGAGGAGCCATCTTTGTTGTCACTGTTAAGGGTCACCTTAAGTCTTGTATTAATGGGTATAAGGACAAATTGTAACTAATGCTAATGTGACATTTTATTGCAGCAACGTTTCGCTCTCCAAGAACTTTATCAGGCCGTAACGTCTTGATTAAGCTCCTGGAGAGCGAAACGTTGCCACAGTAAAATGTCTCATAAATTGTATCTCATAAATGTCTAACCTGTGACCCAATCAAACTTTGTTTTTTTTTAAATACATTACCTAACAGAAAACTCCATTCTATTGAATGCACAGCAACACAGTAAATGACTATATAACCTGTCTTTGTAATACTCATTTGTGCTAAATTGTTATCTGTTTACAATAATGTTTTTACAATATTGTTTCATACTATGGAACAATGCTCTTCTCCAGACTGAGGGACTCACCACCTCAAAACTTTAAGGGTGATGGACTGATTACATCGTCTTCAAGTATCTTCTGCTTCTATCAACTTTTCTGTACTCGACTGACGCAGACGCAAGTGCCTCGAATCAGCACTGATCGCTGTTTCGAATACAATTAAACAAAACAAAGGCAGCTTCACCATCTCCGAAGTCTTAGCAAGAATCCTCCTGAAAACAGTAAACCCTGCCATCACATAGTCTCTCCTGTTATACTACACAAAGCACAGAGAGTGAACACTGAAATAACCTGCCTCATTCCAGTTTATATTTGTCCAACCTATTTTTATGTTACCCAAGTAATAGCTTTTATATCCTTTTACTCATGTACGAATTAATTGCTCTACCATATTGTATTACTTTTGTCACTACTACTACTACTACTACTACTACTACTACTACTACTACTACTACTACTACTACTACTACTACTACTACTACTACTACTACTACCACTAGTGAACATCGAAATGGTACCTCACTAGTATTCACCTCACTCTGAGCCTTTATATACCCTCTGTGTCCATGTATTGTTTGTAATGGCTTGATAAAGCTCCTGGAGAGCGAAACGTTGCCACAATAAATGTCACATTAGTTGCACTTGTGTCCTTTTACTTTACATCGACTGAAGAAGCCTACTGTGTAGGCGAAACGTTTCGAAATAAAGATACCTAACTGTTGCATATGTGTCTTACCTAACAATGTTTTTACCACTGAATATATCATTGCTTAGTTAATCTTAAGTTAATTTTAAGTCTGCCCATAATGCTCTGCATACAAGGGGCTTTGGCATGTTGCACTGTAATAACTGCATTCCTTTGTACTTCACTGTATCATGTTCAAATAAATAAATAAATAAATAAATAAATTAGCTGCACTTGACCGGTGGCCACGAAATGTAAACTTTGCCAGATGGACTATTGTCACACCCTGCGTCATTATGTACTGGAGTGTGATCAAATTAATGAATTTAGAAACAACTCACTCAGAAATGTTCAAGAAATGGCAAAGTATTTTATCCACTAAGCAACACAGACCCCAACTTATGCCTAGAACAGATTAACTCGGTGGCACTCGATGTATACACGAGGCTTATTCCTCTAAGAAAAAGGAGGAGTAGATGTAAAATAGAAAGAGACAGGCGCTCCCTTTACAGGCGACGGAAAATAATAACAGAGCGGCTAAAAGAGGTCAATATATCTAAAATGCGTAGGGAGACACTGGTCAGAGAAATAGCAAGCATCGAACTTAAGCTAAAAGAATCCTTTAGGAGTCAGGAATCGCGGGAAGAACTAAAAGCCATAAATGAAATCGAAAGAAACCCAAAGTATTTCTTCTCCTATGCCAAATCAAAATCGAGAACAACGTCCAGTATAGGGCCCCTACTTAAACAAGATGGGTCCTACACAGATGACAGCAAGGAAATGAGTGAGCTACTCAAGTCCCAATATGACTCAGTGTTTAGCAAGCCGCTAACCAGACTGAGAGTCGAAGATCAAAATGAATTTTTTATGAGAGAGCCACAAAATTTGATTAACACAAGCCTATCCGATGTTATCCTGACGCCGAATGACTTCGAACAGGCGATAAATGACATGCCCATGCACTCTGCCCCAGGGCCAGACTCATGGAACTCTGTGTTCATCAAGAACTGCAAGAAGCCCCTATCACGAGCCTTTTCCATCCTATGGAGAGGGAGCATGGACACGGGGGTCGTCCCACAGTTACTAAAAACAAAAGACATAGCCCCACTCCACAAAGGGGCAGTAATGCAACAGCAAAGAACTACAGACCAATAGCACTAAATCCCATATCATAAAAATCTTTGAAAGGGTCCTAAGAAGCAAGATCACCACCCATCTAGAAACCATCAGTTACACAACCCAGGGCAACATGGGTTTCGAACAGGTTGCTCCTGTCTGTCTCAACTATTGGATCACTACGACAAGGTCCTAAATGCACTAGAAGACAAAAAGAATGCAGATGTAATATATACAGACTTTGCAAAAGCCTTCGACAAGTGTGACCATGGCGTAATAGCGCACAAAATGCGTGCTAAAGGAATAACAGGAAAAGTCGGTCGATGGATCTATAATTTCCTCACTAACAGAACACAGAGAGTAGTCGTCAACAGAGTAAAGTCCGAGGCAGCTACGGTGAAAAGCTCTGTTCCACAAGGCACAGTACTCGCTCCCATCTTGTTCCTCATCCTCATATCCGACATAGACAAGGATGTTAGCCACAGCACCGTGTCTTCCTTTGCAGATGACACCCGAATCTGCATGACAGTGTCTTCCATTGCAGATACTGCAAGGCTCCAGGCGGACATCAACCAAATCTTTCAGTGGGCTGCAGAAAACAATATGAAGTTCAACGATGAGAAATTTCAATTACTCAGATATGGTAAACATGAGGAAATTAAATCTTCATTAGAGTACAAAACAAATTCTGGCCACAAAATAGAGCGAAACACCAACGTCAAAGACCTGGGAGTGATTATGTCGGAGTATCTCACCTTCAAGGACCATAACATTGTATCAATCGCATCTGCTAGAAAAATGACAGGATGGATAATGAGAACCTTCAAAACTAGGGAGGCCAAGCCATGATGACACTCTTCAGGTCACTTGTTCTATCTAGGCTGGAATATTGCTGCACACTAACAGCACCTTTCAAGGCAGGTGAAATTGCCGACCTAGAAAATGTACAGAGAACCTTCACGGCGAGCATAACGGAGATAAAACACCTCAATTACTGGGAGCGCTTGAGGTTCCTAAACCTGTATTCCTGGAACGCAGGAGGGAGAGATACATGATTATATACACCTGGAAAATCCTAGAGGGACTAGTACCGAACTTGCACACGAAAATTACTCACTACGAAAGCAAAAGACTTGGCAGACTATGCACCATCCCCCAATGAAAAGCAGGGGTGTCACTAGCCGTTAAGAGACCAACAATAAGTGTCGGGGGGCCCTAAAATGTTCAACGCCTCCCAGCATCATAAGGGGGATTACCAACAGCCCCCTGGCAGTCTTCAAGGGGCACTGGAAAAGCACTAAAGTCGTTCCTGATCCCCGGGCTTGGCTCGTACTTGGTTTCGTGCACCCACAGCAACAGCCTGGTTGATCAGGCTCTGATCCCGGAGGCCGGGTCACGACCGGGCCGCGGGGGCGTTGCCCCCCAAAACTCCTCCAGGTAAACCCCAGGTAAACGTGTATATTACAGACCATTCTGGAGAAATACCCTGATTTGCTAGCTGTAAATAAGCATTACCATGTGTGTGTGTGTGTGTGTGTTGTTTTGGTGTGTGTGTGTGTGGGTGTGTGGTGTGTGTGTGTGGACGCGCGTGTGTGGGTGTGTGGGTGTGTTTTTTAGGGTGTGTGTGTGGGTGTGGGGGTTGGGGGTGTGTGTGTGTGTGTGTGTGGTGTGTGTGTTGTGTTTTGTGTGTGTGTGTGTTGTTGTTGTGTTGTGTGTGTGTGTGTGTTTTGTGTGTGTGTTGTGTTTTGTGAGACTCAACAATAAACATTTGCCCCAAATTAACTCATACATTGTACCGGGTGTGGAAGTGTGAATTGCTCTTACTCTAAAATTTGTTCATGATTTTTTTTAAACCAGTTAAACGAAAAACCATTCTTACAGTATTCATTCCCTTTGTAATTGTGAGTTCATTACCTTTGAAACTTGTGAGTTCGTTATTCGTACCTAGTTCAGCTATCCAAATTTGGGGGGGCCCCAGCCCTGGACCCTTTCGTACCTCTGTAATCTGTAATCCCTTTTTGTAATTGTCAGTTGTGACCAGACCTAGTGGGTTATTACCTTTGTAAATTGTGGTTCTTTCCTTTAATTGGGGTTTTCATTACCTTTGAAAAATTTGAGTTCATTACCTTTGTAAATTGTGAGTTCATTACCTTTTTAAATTGTGAGTTAAATTACTCTGTAATTGCTCAGCTACAAAACTTTGGAGTCCGTCCCGGGCCCATTATGTACCTCTGAAATCTTTTGACTCCCGTCCCAGGATGGGTATGGGGTGCAAAATAAACTATTAAACTAACTAACTGCCCGGTGCCTGGGGGCGAAGCCCGCTTCACACAGGGGAGGGCGGGGTTTCGTTTCCCCCGGGGGGGGAAACTTTTTCGACACGTTTCCTTCCCCTGTTGTCCTGTTCCCCTCAGCAAATAGGTACTGGGTGTTAGTCGCTGGTGTGGGGCTTTCCGGGGGAAAAGATTAAGGCCCCAAAAGGGAAAAATAAGTTAGAAGTCCTCGATGACGCCCTGATTTCTTGGGTTATCCTGGGGGCAAACCCCTCGGGGTTAAAACCCAAACAAATCTTATTTACTCTGAAACCCGTAAAAACCTTTGTAACTTGCCATGATTGTCCAACTGTCGGGATTTCATTACCTTTGAAACTTGCCCCCCCAAAGGGGTTCCTTGATGTTAGTGGGGGGCTCTTGATTTGGGGGAATTGGATCTGGCTCCATTTCCCCAAATTTAAGCCGAACCCTTCACATACCCCCCCAGGCGCTTTATAATCCTCCGGTTTAGCGTTCCCCCTTTATTTAAAAATAATAATAATAATTTT